CTGAATTATGTCTAACAACCTCAAAAATTATTAAATTGGTCTTTACAATCGTTTCAGAATCATTAATAGAACAATCAGCTGTTATGCACAAATCCTTGATATAATTTCAACAAATATTGTTTTGTCTAAAACCCTCAGCCATGACACATTCTTATCTTATCCTCTTCGAGGTTTACAGTAAGGGAAGTGGAAGGCAGTAGAGAGAAATGCTGTCTATATTGTCTACAATGGCCAGAGTCTAGACAAGTATGAATAACTGTACCAGGACTGCACTCTAGCGAAGTGACAAGTTTGCCAACTCAAATTATGTGAAAATGAATTTGCCAATCTTATAACTTTGAACATTAGAGTTCCCAAACACATCAGTTATAGGGTTTATTATGGCCAATGTATACTGTACATCACGTATGAGGAGTGTAGCTGTCTGTTCACAATTTATATGTTGCCGCTGGTGCCCCAAATACCCTTCTGATTAGAAAGCTGATCTTAGTCATGTTTTTACTTTTACTTTACCATTATCCTCTTCACCACTGATCGGCTCGTTAGCTGCTTGGGCGGTCGGTCACGTCGCTGATACGCACTGATTGACAAGTACCTGCACCAGCTCCAGATGTATCTGAACCTGCTCCAGTGCTGGTCAAGTCTGGTCCTGAAAGAGCTCACACGCGGTGCCGTTGTAGCGAACCAGTAGTTACCGCGGACCAGAAGTAGCCGAAACGATAACTGCGCATGCGCCGTTGATGACGTCACAGCATACCAGGAAAAGACTATTATAGTCTTTGGTACCAGGGGTTGCCGCCCATTAGGTAACTTCTAGTCCGTGTAAAGGTGGACTAGAAGTTCCCTTACCAAAAGTTAAACTTCTGCCTCATGGGCGTCCGCAGAAGGGTGGGGGGGGTATTACCCCTCCATAGTTTGAACATTGGCGATAAGTTTTTCCAGTGCCTATCCACACCCAAGGACTTATCCCGAACTTTTCCATAATATTGTTGCATTACTAAATAGTAACCCGAACCTTTTTAGGGAAAACTTGGTTTAAAACAATGAATTACGGCTCGGAGGGCACTTTTGGGATACTAATAAGTAACCCGAGTGTTTGAAAAAATGACTGTTTGTGACCGATGCCAAGCTGTATACTTCCAGGAGGGGCTGTCTCCACTTTTCAGTCACTCATCTGTGGCATCCCCCAAGGCACCAAGATGGGACCACTATGCTTCCTTATGCTTATCAATGTTGCCCTAAGAGAAACCCCTGCTGGCGGCAAATATGTTGACGACTCCACCATTGGGATCAGCGTCAACAATTCTGCTCCCGACTATACAACCCTTCAGGATTTATTGAACAGTCTCCAAAACTGGGCCACCAACAACCACGTCACCATCAACCATACCAAGACCATGGTTATGCACATCAACCTCTCCTCTGACCTTGTCCCACCTCCCTCCAATACTTTAGGCCCCAACACACTCCAGGTTGTGGACTCCACTAAGCTCCTCGGTGTCACTATAGAAAACCTAAATTGGAAACCACACGTCAGTGAAGTTGTCAAATCCTCCAATTTTCGTCTCCACCTCCTCCGCCGACTCAAGTCCCTCGGAGTTCTTGCCCCGGAGCTCCTCAGTGTTTACTCAACATTCATACTTCCCAAGCTCACCTATGCCTCCCCTACCTGGTCTTCCTCCCTAAATGCCACACAACGTAAACACCTAGAAAAAGTGCAAAAGAGGGCATGCAAGATTATTCTCTCCCCTTCCTACTCCACATATCAAGAAGCGCTCAACACATTGACCCACTCAGCTCTCACTGACCATCACCACAACCTAATTTGCAAATTTGGTGAGAAGCTTCTGCACCATCCTCGACACCGACTCCTACTTCCACCCAAGATTCCTCGTCCGTGAATTGCTGTTCGACACCACAACCACACCCAGCCCATACGAGCACGAACTGATCGACATAAGAACAGCTCAGCCCCAACCATTGTAAAAATTATCAATAACTTATAATCAACCAGTGTATTCACTCCCAGTCAATCTTTCCTTTTTACACTGTCACTATGTTGAAATGCCCTGTAGTAGTGTAGTATGAACCTTCTCCCCACCAAGTTATTTTATATCATATTTGTATCACTTATATTATTTGTCAATCAAGTGACCCATTCCCCAATTATGTAACTGTATATTTTCAGCCTTTTGGTTGCCATACACGAACGCAAGCACACGCAAGCAAGCAAGCAAGCGCGCACATACACACACACACACACACACACACAGACACACACACACACAGACACACACACACACACACACACACACACACACACACACATACAGAGTGGGAGAAATAAGACAATATGTTATGAGTCAACATTATTCATTATATAACCTGGGTAACAACAAGCATTGAAATAGTAATAATTGGAGTACAGGTGTAGCCCAGGGGAAGGTGGGCCAACTCTCCCGAAAATTGCAATTTGATGAAAAAACTCTGTATTAAACTGTCTGTTAAATACTGTCTGTACTGAACAGTCTGCAATAGACTGTCATTACTGACTATCTGTAATAGAACTGTCTGTTACATACTGTCTGTAATAAACTGTGTTACTGTCTGTAATAAACTGTAAAAAACTGTATAATAAATTGTAATAAACTGTTTATAATAACCTGTAATAAACTATAATAAATTGTCAGTAATAAACTGTCTGTAATAAACTGTAATAAGCTGTTTGTAATAAACTATAACAAACTGTTATAAACTGTATGTAATAAACTGTAATAAGCTGTTTGTAATAAACTATAACAAACTGTAATAAACTGTCTGTAATAAACTGTAATAAGCTGTTTGTAATAAACTATAACAAACTGTTATAAACTGTATGTAATAAACTGTAATAAGCTGTTTGTAATAAACTATAACAAACTGTAATAAACTGTAGGTAATAAACAGTAATAAACTGTAATAAACTGTCTATAATAAACAGTAATAAACTGTCTATAATAAACTATAATAAACTGTCTATAATAAACTGTTATAAACTGTCTATAATAAACTGTAATAAACTGTCTATAATAAACTGTTATAAACTGTCTGTAATAAACTGTTATAAACTGTCTGTAATAAACTGTAATAAGCTGCTTGTAATAAACTATAACAAACTGTAATAAACTGTCTGTAATAAACAGTAATAAACTGTCTATAATAAACAGTAATAAACTGTCTATAATAAACTGTAATAAACTGTTTATAATAAACTGTTATAAACTGTCTATAATAAACTGTAATAAACTGTAATAAAGTGTCTGTAATAAACAGTAATAAACTGGAATAAACTGTCTATAATAAACAGTAATAAACTGTCTATAATAAACAGTAAAAAACTGTCTATAATAAACAGTAATAAACTGTCTATAATAAACAGTAATAAGCTGTCTATAATAAACAGTAATAAACTGTCTATAATAAACAGTAATAAACTGTCTATAATAAACAGTAATAAACTGTCTATAATAAACAGTAATAAACTGTCTATAATAAACAGTAATAAACTGTCTATAATAAACAGTAATAAACTGTCTATAATAAACAGTAATAAACTGTCTACAATAAACTGTAATAAACTGTAAAATTGGCTTTCTTAAGGAATCCCTTTAGGAGCAAACTCTTAGACATGTGTGTTGGTGTACAGGACAGAGTGTTGGTGTACAGGACAGAGTGTTGGTGTACAGGACAGAGTGTTGGTGTACAGGACAGAGGGTTGGTGTACAGGACAGAGGGTTGGTGTGCAGGACAGAGTGTTGGTGTACAGGACAGAGTGTTGGTGTACAGGACAGAGTGTTGGTGTACAGGACAGAGAGTTGGTGTACAGGACAGAGTGTTGGTGTACAGGACTGAGTGTTGGCGTACAGGACAGAGGGTTGGTGTACAGGACAGAGGGTTGGTGTACATGACAGAGTGTTGGTGTACAGGACAGAGGGTTGGTGTACAGGACAGAGTGTTGGTGTGCAGGACAGGGTGGTGTACAGGACAGAGTGTTGGTGTGGGACAGAGTGTTGGTGTACAGGACAGAGTGTTGATGTACAGGACAGAGTGTTGGTGTACAGGACAGAGTGTTGGTGTGCAGGACAGAGGGTGTAGGACAGAGTGTTGGTGTACAGGACAGAGTGTTGGTGTAGGACAGAGGGTTGGTGTACAGGACAGAGTGTGATGTACAGGACAGAGTGTTGGTGTACAGGACAGAGTGTTGGTGTGCAGGACAGAGGGTTGGTGTACAGGACAAGTGTTGGTGTGACAGGACAGAGTGTTGGTGTACAGGACAGAGTGTTGGTGTACAGGACAGAGTGTTGATGTACAGGACAGAGTGTTGGTGTACAGGACAGAGTGTTGGTGTGCAGGACAGGGTTGGTGTACAGGACAGAGTGTTGGTGTACAGGACAGAGTGTTGGTGTGTACAGGACAGAGGGTTGGTGTACAGGACAGAGTGTTGGTGTACAGGACAGAGTGTTGGTGTACAGGACAGAGTGTTGGTGTACAGGACAGAGGGTTGGTGTACAGGACAGAGGGTTGGTGTGCAGGACAGAGTGTTGGTGTACAGGACAGAGTGTTGGTGTACAGGACAGAGTGTTGGTGTACAGGACAGAGAGTTGGTGTACAGGACAGAGTGTTGGTGTACAGGACAGTGTTGGTGTACAGAACATAGTGTTGGTGTACAGGAGAGAGTGTTGGTGTACAGGACATAGTGTTGGTGTACAGGGCATATTGTACAGTATATAGTGTTGGTGCACAGGACAGAGTGTTGGTGTACAGGACATAGTGTGGGTGTACAGGGCATATGGTACAGTACATAGTGTTGGTGTACAGGGCATATTGTACAGTACATAGTGTTGGTGTACAGGACAGAGTGTTGGTGTACAGGATATAGTGTTGTGCACAGGACATAGTGTAGGTGTACAGGACAGAGTGTGGGTGTACAGGACAGAGTGTTGGTGTACAGGACAGAGTGTGGGTGTACAGCACAGAGTGTTGGTGTACAGGACAGAGGTTGGTACAGGACAGTGTTAGTGTACACAGAGCGTTGGTGTGGGACAGAGTGTTGGTGTACAGGACAGAGTGTTGGTGTACAGGACAGAGGTTGGTGTACAGGACAGCGTGTTGGTGTTCAGGACTGTTGGACAGAGTGTTGGTGTACAGGACAGAGTGTTAGTGTACTGTACAGGACAGAGTGTACAGCACAGACAGAGTGTTGGTGTACAGGACAGTGTTGGTGTACAGGACAGAGTGTTGGTGTACAGGACAGAGTGTTGTGTGTACAGGACGAAGTGTTGGTGTACAGGACAGTGTTGGTGTACAGGACATAGGTGTTGGTGTACAGGACATAGTGTTGGTGTACAGGACATAGTGTTGGTGTACAGGACATAGTGTTGGTGTAGTACAGGACATAGTGTTGGTGTACAGGACAGAGTGTTGGTGTACAGGACAGAGTGTTGGTGTACAGGATATAGTGTTGGTGTACAGGACAGAGTGTTGGTGTACAGGACAGAGTGTTGGTGTACAGGGCAGAGTGTTGGTGTACAGGACATAGTGTACAATACATAGTGTTGGTGTGCAGAGCCTATTGTACAGTACATAGTGTCTGTGTACAGCGCATATTGTACAGTACATAGTGTATGTGTACTGGGCATACTGTTGGTGTACAGGGCATATTGTACAGTATATAGTGTATGTGTACAGGGCATACTGTTAGTGTGCAGGGCATAGTGTTGGTGTACTGGACATATTGTACAATACATAGTGTTGGTGCACAGAGCATATTGTACAGTACATAGTGTCTGTGTACAGCGCATATTGTACAGTACATAGTGTATGTGTACAGGGCATACTGTTGGTGTACAGGGCATAGTGTTGGTGTACAGGGCATATTGTACAGTATATAGTGTATGTGTACAGGGCATACTATTGGTGTACATGGCATAGTGTTGATGTACAGGGCATATTGTACAGTACATAGTGTTAGTGTACAGGACAGAGTGTAGGTGTACAGGACATAGTGTTGGTGTACAGGACATAGTGATGGTGTACAGGACATAGTATTGGTGTACAGGACATAGTATTGGTGTACAGGACAGAGTGTTGGTGTACAGGATATATAATTGTTGATGTACAGGATATAGTGTTGGTGTACAGGACATAGCGTTGGTGTACAGGACATGGTGTTGGTGTACAGGACATAGTGTTGGTGTACAGGACAGAGTGTTGATGTACAGGACAGAGTGTTGGTGTACAGGACAGAGTGTTAGTGTACAGGACAGAGTGTTAGTGTACAGGACAGAGTGCTGGTGTACAGGACATAGTGTAGGTGTACAGGACAGAGTGTTGGTGTACAGGACATAGTGTTGGTGTACAGGACATAGTGTAGGTGTAGAGGACATACTGTTGGTGTACAGGACATATTGTACAATACATAGTGTTGGTGTACAGAGCATATTGTACAGTACATAGTGTCTGTGTACAGTGCATATTGTACAGTACATAGTGTATGTGTACAGGGCATACTGTTGGTGTACAGGGCATAGTGTTGGTGTACTGGGCATATTGTACAGTATATAGTGTATGTGTACAAGGCATACTATTGGTGTACAGGACATAGTGTTGGTGTACAGGGCATATTGTATAGTACAAGTACATAGTGTTGGTGTACATGGCATAGTGTTGATGTACAGGGCATATTGTACAGTACATAGTGTAGGTGTACAGGGCATACTGTTGGTATACAAGGCATAGTGTTGGTGTACAGGGCATATTGTAGAGTACATATTGTTGATGTACAGGACACTATATTCTTGTATATGTGAAGTCAACTTTGAGCTCTTGTAACAAGACTTAAATTCTATAATCTTTGACTTGTTTATCAAAAGACGGTGAGTATTGTGCTCATTCCAAACTTTGCTTGTGATAAAGAACAGCAAATGTACCCACAGTAATCTCAACTACCAATTATATGTTGACTAAGTGAATGAAAACTTGAATAATTAGGCTTAAGTCTTTCATCCGTGACCTCATATACTAAGTCCAAATACAAATAAATATATACTAATCTCATGTATTAAGTTCAAATACAAATAAATAAATACTAATCTCCTGTATTAAGTTCAAATACAAAGAAATAAATGCTAATCTCATGTACTAGGTTCAAATACAGATAAATAAATGATAATCTCGTGTATTAAGTTCAAATACAAAGAAATAAATGCTAATCTCATGTACTAGGTTCAAATACAGATAAATAAATGATAATCTCGTGTATTAAGTTCAAATACAAAGAAATAAATGCTAATCTCATGTACTAGGTTCAAATACAGATAAATAATTGATAATCTCGTGTATTAAGTTCAAGTACAGATAAATTATTATAACAGCATGTAATTAGGTGTTCATAAATCGGTATTTCTTGGTTCACATCTTGAAATATATAATGTAACTTGGGGTGAGAGTGTGTGGCTTCCTGCTGGTGTTGTTGACGATCCCACAATGTTATAAGGTTATTACAACACGTGGACCATTACAACAGTGGACTATCACAATCAACACGTGGTTCATATCAACACACCTCCCATACACTGTGACAATTACCTTCATTCCTTACATGGGGAGGGTGAACCTAGCACTTTACCGTCACCTCCACAAAGAACATCATCCTAACCATATTCAGAACTAGATATAAATTATATTTATATCACAAACTTTGTAAAGCACATACTTATATTTGGGTGATATACAGTCATCACCAGATAAGTGAGAACAAACTTATGAACTATTGTAAGGGATAATCTGGGTATTGTAACTATATTCCTAATACTAATGTAACAAAATTGGTGGTAATATCACACCAAAACTCGGAGGTACAAAGTAGAAGATTACGTAACAGGTAATAACCATTTTGCATTATTATTATTATTTTTTGTGTGTGTGTTTTCCATATATTATTGTTGAGAAGAAGGAATTACAGGAAGATAAGTGAATAATTAACTTACAGAGAAGAAATTAAGTGTAACAGCAGCAATAAATAGCTCAGGGTCTATCAGTATTGTTAAGATTGTTATTTCAGTTTTGTGATTATATACCATGATGAAAAATCTCTAGGTAAACTACTCAGACGATGAAGGCTTTCCTAATAACAACGAGACTGAAGAAGGTTTACACTCTGAGCTTTGTCGCTGCTGCCAACTTGTGGTAACTTAACAATAACTGCAAGTTAATACCTGCCCTTAACAGTGTAATCATGTGCAAGAACTAAGAAACTGAACTCTTTGAAGTGGCCCGCTTTACGCACATCGGCAGTGGTAAATAATAACGAGCGGATAGGACAACCTAGTGTAGATATACTGTACAACTGATATGGAAAACATTGGAGAGCGCGTTATCATTATATGTGACACACAACTGTAAAAAGCAACTGGCGGTAGATCTACTTGTGCTTGAGGCTTCAACTTCAACGCTAATCTACTCATCTACTATAATTATAAGACCCGAACACCTCGCCTGGTAGAGCGTGTCGGGCCAATAAGGAGCCAGTTTTTTGTTTCACATCAAAATTCTAAAATCGTGTTAATTCGGAATTCAGAAAATCATGCAATGAAATATATTAGGATTAAATGATAGTAACACTATCGTAGACACTACTGAACTAGAGAAATAGCTGCATGCCACGGGTTAAGTCATGTTAAACAGGGCCAAGTTGATACTACTTTAGATCAACTGAAATATATAGCAGTTTAACAGACGCTCCGGTACAATAGAGTGGATATATAAATAATCTAATTTACATTACTGAATGTTAACTGTATCTAATTTCTATGAGACAGTACTATGTTGAAGCACTGCAAAACACCTCTATACTCCAAGGCAGATAATGAGAACAATTAGGAAATTGTTCAAAGCGGAGGCACTTAGCATCCATGACATAGCACAAAATGTATCACCGACTTGGTATTAATCATATTGCTTGTGTAGCGAGTCTTGATCCCTGCCCATATTACATGGCCAGGTTGGCAATAGTAGTTGACGAGGCAGTATGGAAAGTCACTCAAAGTTCACACATTAACTAAACTCAAATTTACAAATACAGTACAGTGAAAACTTCCATATAAAGGACTCATCTCAATATATACCATTATATCTGGGTTTCACATCTAACAGAACCTTGATATAATGAACTTCCTCACCATATAGACCGTTAAATAGAGTTTTCACTGTAATCCAAGTGACAATGATGGATAAACTAAAAATAAACAAAAATTATTCGAGTTAGGTAGTGAGTGACCAATGTGCCACGTTTGTATGACACCCTAAAGACTTTCCATATCACATCGTGGATCTTCGCTCTAAAGAATCATACTGATGATAATGATACCATGAATCTCTCTTCACTCTTAGGTAGCCATATGTACTGTAAACTTTGACTGTTTAAAACTACATTATGAATGTTCATATTGTTTACGTCTTACAAGGCAAACATATGTAAACTTTGACTGTTTAAAATTACAATATGAATGTTCATATTGTTTACGTCTAGAGCATGAGCTTTGTTTGTTTACATGAGATGTCCGTTGATATTGTTTATAATACAAATGTTATTTCTTTGATGTATAAACTTTGATGTTGTTTAGCTAACATAATAATTGTTTACAACTACGATATGAACGTTTCTCGTTTACGTTTACAATAGGAATGTTCATAGTTCTTGTTTACATTCATTGTTGTTGTTGTTTATATGTAGAAAACGGACGGTGGCTTATATTGTCTGCATCTGTCATATGAAGAGTGTGTTTATTTTTCGGGGGTTTCAAGTATGTGTTTAACATGTGGTTGCCAAGTGTCAATGTTTACATATGGTTGCCAACTTCCTCCTGCCAGAAAGTTTATCAAGTTTATGATTTTTTTTTTAATTTCTGATTTATATAAGTTACTACAGTATAACTTGCTCCATTAGTTTACCAGGCCATTTTAATCAGCTTCCAACAAAGTATTATTAAGGACTTTGGATCACTGTAGAATTTCCACCCCAGCTTATTTCACTTGAGGATTAATCACCCTAATGGTATTCGAAGGGATGAGGTTAGGTTAGGTTAGGTTAGGTTAGGTTAGCTTAGGTTAGGTTAGGGTGGTTAATCTTTCGGTAAAATAAGCTGGTACGGAGCTTATTCACCTTTGCAAAAGGTTTTTTACAGGACAAATTTGCATAACATTATTTTTTGATTATATTATAGTCAATATTAGGAAAACCGACCAAGACTCCGAACAGTTAAACCATCAACACTTTTCATGTGATGCAAAGGAATTAAACTTGAACCAAATTGAAATACTACTTAGGTTAGGTTTGGTTAGGTTGACTTAGGTTGAATAAGGTTAGGTTAGCTAAAGTTGGGTTAGGTTGAGTAGGGTCAAGTTAGGTTAGATTTTGATTAGCTTAGGTTAGATTCAGTTAGGTTAGGTTAAAGATAAAAATAATGGTCTAATCTCTTCTTAGTGTTTTCCTTTCCTAATATCGTCTATCATAAGAGGTAACCAACACACGCCTCAGCGATCTATTGCATGATGGGAGAAGGTAATGAACACGGGAGGTAAACATCATGTGGAGACGAACACGAAAAATCTGTTGTTGTTATGGTGATGTTGAGGTTAGCTGCGACCACATCACAGCGTTCAGCACAAGGGGTAACGAAATCTTTACATGATGACACAGAAGGGAGTTTTAGGCGCAGATTCCTGAAAAAGAGGGAACAAAATAAGAGAAAATAGGTTACTTATACAGGAGTTAGTTACGACCTAACCTACCACAACCTCACTTGTTGAAACGGTGAGACGTTTTCTAGGGGAGTTTTTGGAGACTAAGTGCCCGCCCTGTTTGCCTTCCCCCACTGGGCAAAGTCTCACAAGAAATTAAACCTCAGGGATGAGTTTTAATCTTCCTTGAACAGTTCTTAAGGGGTTAATCTCTCCAAATCCATTATGCACATTAGGTTTTGAATAAGGTGACTGGAATAATGGGATTTAAGATAGTCTAGCTCCTTAAGATGTCTTTACCTTATGATCACTGTACCCAAGGGGATAATATCTATGGCAATATCAATCCCTCAAAACTGACTTTAACCCCTTGAGTACGATGACTTAACCTCCTGAGTACGTAGAATTAACCCCTTGAGTACGATGACTTAACCTCCTGAGTACGTAGAATTATCCCCGAGTACGATGACTAAACCCACCGAGTATTAGCGAAAGGTTCAGACAGTGTATTCGAGGGTTAGTTCATCGTACTCAAGGGGCTAATTCTTCGTACTCAAGGGGTTAAATTATCGTACTCAAGGGGTTAAATTATCGTACTCAAGGGGTTAAATTATTGTACTCAAGGGGTTAAATTATTGTACTCAAGGGGTTAAATTATCGTACTCAAGGGTTAAAGTGTATTACAACTCAAAACTTGTGCTTGGCATCGAGACTGGGAAACTTTATAATGAGGCTTAACAGGTTTGTGGTCGTGAGTAAACAGTAAATTATGCTAAACGAAACAAGCAGTGCTAACTACAACAGTCACCATCTTTTACATGACCACGATCACACAATCACTAAACAGCAAAAGCAAAAAACTGAACTAAAAATGGAGAAAAAATGGAATCTATGCCTGACTCTCTCTATACTAGCAAACTTTACACAATACCCTCCCAAAACACACACACATACACAGACATATCCTTAACTAACAATCTTCCACACCTAACTAAACATTCCAACTATCATACTTAAGTTGACACATACTGTACTTAATGGTACCCGACAAGCTACATAATATAGCCTGTTTATTAAGTAAATTCATTCAACTTAGAATGATAGTTGTTATTTTTATTGATAAAACAACGCGGTTCACTGAAAACCTCCCGAAGACAACAGGTTAGGTCAGGCTAGGTTAGGTTAGGTTAAGTTTACTGATATATATATATATATATATATATATATATATATATATATATATATATATATATATATATATATATATATATATATATATATATATATATATATATATAAATTTTAGTAAAACATCTCAACACATTTTCATTATTTTTTCCGAGACTCTACCATAACTAGATACCTTCACTTAACACTGAGACTCTACCTTAACTAGATACCTTCATTTAACACTAAGACTTTACCTTAACTAGATACCTTCACTTAACACTGAGACTCTACCTAAACTAGATACCGTCACTTAACACTAAGACTCTACCTTAACTAGATACCTTCACTTAACACTGAGACTCTACCTTATCTAGATACCTTCACTTAACACTAAGAATCTACCTTATCTAGATACCTTCACTTAACACTGAGACTCTACCTTAACTAGATACCTTCACTTAACACTGAGACTCTACCTTAACTAGACACCTTCATTTAACACTGAGACTCTACCTTACCTAGATACCTTCACTTAACACTGAGACTCTACCTTAACTAGATACCTTCACTTAACACTGAGACTCTACCTTAACTAGATACCTTCACTTAACACTGAGACTCTACCTTAACTAGATACCTTCACTTAACACTGAGACTCTACCTTAACTAGATACCTTCACTTAACACTGAGACTCTACCTTAACTAGATACCTTCACTTAACACTGAGACTCTACCTTAACTAGATACCTTCACTTAACACTGAGACTCTACCTTAACTAGATTGAACTCAAGTTATTGGGATGAGTTGAGTGAATCTAGATCATACATAGAGGAATATTTATCATACATAGAAAAATATTTATCATCCTAACTCAACCTACAGTGGGTCTGAAAGTCGTGAATGTTGACTGTTGATTGAGTGTCAACTGTGTATGACTGTGGTTGTTTGACTGTATGACATTATGAATGACTGTATGGCAAGTACAACACGCTCCAGAACGACTGAGGAAACGACTGCAACTGTGTGACTGACTTTGTAAGACCGTTTGAGTGACTGTATGAGTAACTGTATATCCTAACTGTATGATTTGACTGTATGAGTGTGTATGATTGCCTCCAATGTCATATGTTTGTGTTGGGTGTGGGATACATCACTCGATCCACAGCCTAAAGGAAGCTGGTTCGCAGTTAAGGTATTCTTACTCTCCTTAACCAGTGGGTGTTGTATCTGTACCCTCAAAACACCCAACCACAAGAGTGAGATTATTGAGATGAGGGAATTAACAGTAAACACCGGGTTGTTCTATCTTACGAGCCCACCCATCTCCCTAAACTAACCCTCACTCCCATTCTCTCTCTATCACACTGAATCGTTAATTCTCTCACACACTTACACACTACCTCCTCACTCTCTTCCTCAAGACCCTGCGCTGCAAGCTCTTGTCATCTTTGCGCCAAAGTCGATACTATGGGAGGACGAACGGGCTTGTTGTCGAGAATTGCCCCAACTCTGCGATGTGATCTGGCTTCAGCTTGGGTAAAACCTGTGTAATGTGAAGATGTGTCCACCATGAGAATCAATATCACAGTCCTATAGGCCCCCTAGTCCTTAGGGGTCTCAGTCCTTCAAGGGCCCATTCTTTATGCCACACGGTCCTGATAGGCCCCAGTTCATAGTGGCTGCACTAGGAATGTGGATAATTTGGTTCATCTACTATTTGGGTAAAGAGAAATTAGGATTGTGAAATGTTAAGATTAGTTACAATTGGGAGGTCTTAATGGTGTCATGTCTCAGTTCAGGAAGCATCTTTGAGAGCCTAATACCTGGTTGAATAGTATCCTGCCAAGGTGGGAGAGTAACTCACTAGCTGATGAACGTTACAAGTCATCGTCCCAAAGTAGAAGGGAAATATAGAGTGATAGAAAATACTTATCAAGAGTCACCTGAAAAGAGAAAAAAGAGATAAGAAAAAAGACAGATGATTGTCTTAGAGCAGTGGTTCTTAACCTGGGGGCCGTCAGTAATTTCCAGGGGCAAGCCCTAGGGAAAAAGAAGGAATTTCTCTAATTATAATTATGTTTTTATTCTCTTAACAAGAGCGTGGGCTAATATTGAGAAGTTTATGAAAAATGCAAAAGTATCGCCTTATAACTTTAGTTTTCTATTGGCTACTTTTTTGACTTAGGGCTTACCATTTTCTGTACTCATTGACCCCCTCCCTATCCCTTGAAACCCATGAGGGGGTTAACCCTTCCTGGACCTGTATACTGCTCGTTGGTGACTGGTGAGCCCCGTTCTCCCAGTCTTCTCCACACCGTCCGGTGGCAATAATTCTCACATTTATTCAGTTAAGGCTGTTGAGGTATGTTTTATCCCAGTTGTTATATTTACCTAAAAATATAGTAAGCAGCCATAAGTTTATTGGTGAATTGTGTTGCTCTGTTTGTTATTCGCAAGTTTTGAATTCCGTTTGTATTTTATCAGAAGTTGGTGGTGCTTAAAATCATGTGGTGGTAACAGGTGGTTATGGTAAAGTTGTATTTATGATGATATTGATTTGTTTCTTAATAATCATGTGTTTATGATCATGATGTGTTTACTATAATGTTGTGGTGTTTGTTAATATTTACTTAATAATTATGTGGTGGTGTTTATGATCATGTAGTGGTGCTTATGATCATGTTGTGATCATTGATGTTTGTTAATAATCATGTGGTTTATGATCTGTGATGTTTGTTAATGATATGGTGGTGTTTATGTCATGTATGATTGTAGTCACTTGTAGTGTTTACGAACTTTACGATCATATGTTTGTTATTGATCATGTGGTTGTGATTATCATGATGTTGTGGTGTTCATGAGCACGTGGTGATGTTTGTCTTACCTGACACGTGCCTTATGTTTTGTCTACACATTTGTGTTGTCCACTGCACATCAAATACTTCGCAATGAGTGCAAAGAAGGAAGTATCTTGACGAATATATTCGATTTGGAATCGTGTCTTCCAAAAGTGTGACAGGAGGTCCCCCAGCGTGTGATATGTTACAAGACTCTGAGCAATGATGGAATGCGGCCCTCACGCTTGGAACGCCACTTGAGGACAACACAAGCCCAAGGCATTTTTTCGAAACAAAAGGACTCCTTGAAGCAAGTTAGTTGGACGGCAGTGGGTCATTCGGCAACAAACTTCAAAGGTTGTTGAGGCTTCCTATGAGATCGCCATGTTGATTGAAGAGTACGGGTGTATGCTGGTTTTTCATAAAACCAAGCATACTCTGTAGCAGAACTCGTTCTGGGGAAAGATTTTATCAAACGATACAGTCAGGGAAGGATCGATGAATTGTCTCAAGACATCAAAGATCAAATTCTCGACCAAGTAAGAGATTCTCCTGTTTTTCCATCCAGTGTGACGAAACGGCTGACAACGCTCAGTGTTCTCAGCTACTGATGTATGCTCGTTTCGTGTCAGGCAACAGTGTAAAGAGGAAATGCTGTTCTGTCACCCCATGGAAAGTTGTACAACAGCTTATTTTCATGATGTATCAAACTTCTTTCGGAAACCCAACTTTCGTGGGACTCGCTGGTAGGGTGTGTGTGTGATGGAGCCCAGCCATGATTGGTCTGCAGTCTGGATTCATTACAATGGTGAAAGAAAAAATCCGTCCTGTTGAAGTACACAC